AACGCGAGCAAGTGCATGCAGGTTTCAATTGTAAAGTCACGGAAAAAATGTCGTCCTTTCTTTTTTAATATTCCCTTCTTTTCCTTCCGAGCATAAACGGGTATGCCTGTGTGTCCGAAAAAAATTTGTTCTAAAAATAAAAAAAAATATATATAATGCGTATCCTTTTTCTTATTCAGTATTTCACATCCGGTTGGTAATACGCTCTCCTTGCCACATTATAGTTGATATCAACTATATATCGGTATATCGTTCGAAATATTGTATATCATATTGTGGTTTATTAAAATTCGTTATACCTAGCATTTAAAAATCACGACCCAAGCGGTGATTTGAGAAGTATGTTTGTTGTACAAGATAATTTTTACGTCGCTGCCGCGATACCTCATTAAGGTGTCGCTCGTTGCGCTCGAACATGAACTTCGCTCTCGTCTCAGGACTTGATGCGCTTTAATACGCCGCACCGATTTATTAAAGTCCTTTAAAATCCACACCTGATCATCATATTGCTTTGAGGTCGAGTATCGACGAGCGTAAGAGAAACCTTTGAGCGCCGCACGTCGACAAACATTAAGAAGGAAGTTAGTCTGGACAAAAAGGGAGACTGTTTCTACAAGTTTAAATAATAAACGTATAAAATAAGTTGCGATAATTATGCAGTGAGAACAAACGTGATAATGACAAGGTATGTTTAATTAATTGGCAAGCGTACTCTTCTCGCGGGATCTCTTTAAAAGAGATCTGTAGGTCCTTAGAAGATCTTTAGAAGAGAGGAGCTTGTAATGCCCGTAATAGTTATCATATTCGTTTTTTGTTCTAGTTGAGATTAATTTAAGCCATATTACATAGGGAAAGTAAGTGCACAGAATGTACACACAGACAAGAGATTTTACAGGATTTTACACAATGATCGCGCAACGAGGAGACATCTTAATGTGGACCGTCAATACACTCGACGAAATGCACGTAACTTTTAGTATTTTCGGTAAATTTTGGGCACTTTGTGAAATTTCACTTCACCCTCAGATCATTTACAATAATCAATAATTTATATTACACCCTTACATCGTCTCTACCGAGTCTCAGTACTTAATAATATACATTTTCTATTTTGTATGTACGTGTGTGAGTGTAGCGAGAACGTGTTCTGCGTGTATTCAGCGGACATATCTTACGTGTACACGGGCACGACAAGAGTGGTGCGATGCCGTGCACGTGTACGTGATACACACGCGCACACCGAAAATCATCTAAGAAAAGAATCACTAAAAAAAAAAAATTACCATATTATACAATTATCATTAATTATCACCTAACTTGGCATCCTTGCGGGAGCGGTGCGGGCGGACACCCTGGCGAGTTGTGATTCGCGGACTGAGGCAGCAATGGAATATCGTCCTCTTTGGAAGATTGCTTCTCCATGCACGGTTCTTCTTGCTCGGACTTAGCCTCGGCGACCGGGACGGCGACGTCGGTGGTCGGCAGGTATTCCGTCGCCTTCTCTTGCTCGACGCCGCCGATCGGCAACGGCGCCGAGTTCGCCAATGTTACCGTCGTCGTCGCACTAGTATTGCTACCACTACCACCATCGTCATCCACACTCGCGCTACTCGCTACCACCGGATCCTTCAGTTCGTAGCCCTCCTGACACCGAGTCAGTTTTAACCGAATCGGCGTCACCTTTGCCGAACGGACGTTCCTGAGGGCGGTGGCGCCTACGTTCGGATCCGTTGGCTGCTTCTCGTCGACGCCGCCTTCCGTCGAGAAAATTCCTGTCTCCTCCTTAGCGGGCTCGGGCGGCGGCGGACCCACTCGGCTATCCTTGTTGTCCGATGATGCCTGCTGCTGATTGTCGTCCTCGTCGCCGGTGGTCGGCGCGTTGTTCGGCACGTCGTTTGTCGCCGAGGAGTTGGCGCCCGTTGGTTTGCCCAGCCGTATGATGAGCTTGGGCGGCGCAGCGCCGTCCTCCAGGATCTGCACCCGCGCTTCTTGCTCCTTCTTGCTGGACTGTCGCTTTTTCCGCTTACCATTCTTGTCACGCTTATTTTTCGTCTTCTCGTCATTGTCGAAGCCCGCCATGATCATCTTGCGGAACTTCATGCTCTCGCGACGGAGTTCCTCCATGCTAGGCATGCTCGGAATGCTGCTCAGTCGCTTCTTCGGCGGTCTTATCCTGCTACGATCGTCCTGCGCATTACCCATCTCTTGGCCGCCAATTATACTGTTACCAATTTTGATCTTCAATTTCGGCGGTCCGGCGCTGTTTGTTACCGTGGTGGCAGTCGGTCTGGTTTGCCTACCTCTTCTACGATCACTGACCATGCCAACCATAAGACCACGCTTTCTATCGGAACTGCTTTCCTCCTCGCCAGCTACTACATCGAAGAAGCTGCCACCAATGCTCCCGCTGCCGCGCTCCTTTCGCCGTTTCTTTTCCATATTCGCGTCAACTACAGCCTTGTAATCCTCACGAGTTGGTATACTCGTCATTGACGCCACAGCCTTAGGGATGGTGATAACCGTGCGATTTTGATTGATAGGTGGAATGATGATAGGCGCGGAGGCGACGCTACCACACGCAGGATCGTCCATATTCATGTCCTGCGAGCAATATTGACGCAACAGCTCTTTCTTTCGCATGCGACGTAGATTTGATGTGCCCGAAGCGACGGACGCACTGGTCGCAGTTGGTGTGATTATCACTGGGGCTTGCTGAGCCAGCGGCGGTACCGATGGCGTCGGCGCATAGTTTGCATCAAGGAATGGACCTTTGATTTTCACTTTCAGTTGGTTTCTAGAATCGGTCAGAGAAACTTTGTTGGCATCGAAGCTGGATACGGACGACGGATCTATCGTCGATGGATCGCCGAAGTCTGGTTTCGAGTACGGCTCTTCGAAGCCACCGCTCGCAAGTTGCTGTTGTTTGCCGGCGACTTTCCTTAATCCCTCGCAGCAGTTCCCGTGCAATAAATCGTCGATTAGACAATTCGGGTCCGCATCTACGCTCGCGAACGGGCCTAGCAAATGGTTGCCGTACGGCTGACCGTGGACCGACGAGCTCGGCTGAGCCATAGTCGAGTTGTAGGTGCGCATATCCACTGGGCCCGGTAACAACGGCATGACCGTATTGTCAGCGAACGCCTGATGGCTCGCGCCTGACTCGGATTTGGCCATGGCGGCCTGATCGTGTTGCGCCGCCGGTGACGCGAGCTTCTTGTCGTCGGCATACTTTTTCGCGGTGTGCAACGTGGGACTAGATAGATGGGACTGAATACCGCCATCATTCGCCAAACCTCCGAGCGGTTCGCTCGCGCGGTTCTTCTCGTTTACATCGGTAGACTTCTTGCGCTCACGCATCGTTCGCAGATCCGCGATGTTGGTTTCGTTAGCCGAGTCCTCATCCGAATCGAAGTCATACACGGTGCCGACCAGCTTGTTCTGGATAGAGTCGTCGTTATGCAGCGCGTTCGATATTGGCACCATCGCGATCGACGAGTTCTGGCTATTCCTGCCACGTCCTCGTCCTCGACCACGACCACGACCCCGGTAACTCGAATGTTGAGACCCTTTGGAGTTCCTGCTGCGACCGCGAGAACTCGGAGCGGATTTTATGGTTTCCTGGCGCGGCGATTTACCGGGTGACTTACCCTGCAGGGACGTCACTCTGGCGGACGTTCTCGTCGGTTTCGATGGCGATTTTTTGCCGGACGGCGCGCTCTTGTTGTCCGCACTAACTACTTCCGCTATGGTCTCCACAATGGTCTCATTGGTAACCGGCGTCTCCGTGATGGCATTGAGGAAAGTCGCCGGTACGGCAGGCGAATTAACCGGCTGCGACAGCAAAGACGACGCATGTCCCGTCGACGCCGGCACTTCCGAGGACGGGGGCTGCGTCTGTGGTGGTGACTGTTGTTGCGGTTGCGGTTGCGATTGCTGCGACACCGACGGTGGTAGCACCGGCGCTTGTGGCGGCGTAGTCACTTTCGTTGGCGATACCATGGCCGCAGTGAGAGCCATATTATGCGATGATGAGGTAAACGCAGCGGTGCACGGTGACGCCCCGATGTTGAGTGATTCCTCGAGCGGCTTCGGCACGTGCGGCAACATGGATTGCGGTGTCGGGAAGGGAGCGCCGAAAGGCGGTGGAAAGGGCGATGGATAAGGCAATGGGGCAGCGCAGGATTGCGGCGGGAACAACGAGACCGCTCCAGCGCCGTAAGAGCGCTCCGAATACGAGTGATAAGACGCCGCGTCCATTGTACACGGCGGATAAAGTACGTTTTTGTAAGGGGGAATAGCTGCATGCTCCTCCGCGGAAGACGCAGATGTGATGGACGATGATGTAGATCGTCGCGAAGGTAACACCTGGCTCTCGGCCCATCGCGTGTCCGGTCGACCATTGAGCTCATTATAGGGTGAGCCGCTCTGAGTGTAGTCCTGTCTGATGTCCGACGAGACGTCTTCCTTGTCCAGCACGCGATCCATCTCGCTGCCCTGATCATCTTCCGAATTCGGCAGGCCAATCAGGTGACGATTTACCATCTCCATCGGAGTGATCTCATCGACAATCTGCGTTGGTATTTCCGTACCAGTCGCCACCATCTGCTGATCCATCATCGCAAGCGATTGCACACGCGACTGCTCTTGCGCCGCGGCGTGCTGCGCCTCGAGATGTTGCTGCACCCGTTCCATCGGATGCGTCTGTTGCAACTGTAAATATTGGTCCTGCATATTGAGCTGCAGATGCGCGACCAAGGCTGCATCAGGATTCGCCGCGGGATCCGGCATCACGGCACCGATCGTTGCCACCTCGTTCGAGAATTGATGGGCGGCGGCAGCGGCTGCGGCCGCAGCGACGTAACGGTGGTTCTGGTTGTCGATCAGCGTGTTTAGATGTTGTTGCACGTCGCTTGGATTGAAATTATCCATGCTCGGTGGCACCCATCTCTCATCCGCTTCGGCTCTATCAAGTTTTGTACGCTCTACCACTGTCACTTTAGCCGTCTCGCGTTCTTCATTTCCATATATGTAATGCTGCTCGTTGTTACTATTGCTAGAATAGCAAGGCTTTCTCTTATCCTCCATACTATGATTTTTACACGTAAGATCCTCGGATATCTGTACGGGTTCTGGATCACTGTTACTTTTAATCTCAACCGACTGCACAACTGACTGCTGTTGCTGCTGCTGTCCCACTGCTTGCTGCTCCTGTACGTCCAATTTTTCCTGGAGCAGCGGCTGCTCTTCCATTGGTTTCTCAGTCGGACGAATAGGCGGTTCCTCCTTCTTCGGATACTCCTCCTCCGCTGGAACAGATTCCAACTCGAACTGACTAGAAACTGACTTCTTCGATAATTCCATACGCAACTTCTCCACCAAATGCAAGGTCTCTCGCGCGCTGTCCTCCTTCGAATCCTCCTTGAACCAAAGCTCGTTGTTGAAGGAGAACGAGAGCGGCGCTGCTCCTCGTTCTTCGTCACGAGGTATGCTGAAGCCGTCATCGTTCACCATGTCATCGGTTAGTATATCATGGTCGAAGTCAAACAGCTCCGATACGCTGGGATCTTTACTGCCGTGCTGTGGTGAGAAGATGGAACGATTTACAGATTTTCTTCTCTTTTGCTGACATTCCTTCTCGGATGTCGCAGTTTCAACTAATGCGGTAGAAACTTTTTCAGGTATCGATCTCAAACAAATGTGATCATTTGACTCTTTCGGGACATTTTCTTCAACAGTGATCATCTCGACAGCAGCCTGCGTTTCGCTTTCGAGTTTCCGCTCCGTCTTCTTCTTTCTGTCCGCAGGTTTCTCCAACGTAATCTCAACATTCTTCTTTACATCTTCTTTTTCTAATTTCATAGCATCGAGCACTGCGACTTCTTCGTTCATGTGATTTTTCATATCCTCGCTCTTGATAGTCTCCTTCGCGATTTTCGACGCCACGACTTTGTCTTTATTCTCTTCATTACATTTCTCCTGTTGAGTAGCAATCCTACTCCTTGATAATTTGTCAAGGTGCTCGCGTTTTTCAAGAAGCTTGTCCAATCCTCTCGACGACTTCTTCGGACTATCTCGTTCTGCCCGTCGTTGCTTCATCTCTTCTTCTAGCGTATTGATTGCATTCTTATTACTCGTTTTCTTGATCTTCTTGTCGTCTATCTTTGGAGTATTCTCAGTCGTTTTCGGAGGTTCCATGACAGGTTCGGGGATACTCTTAGCGCTAGTAGTATCATGTTTGTTGTCTTTCTCAATTTCCTTAGTTAATTTCTCTGTTAATTTCTTCTCCACTTTCTTGAGCGGTGACGTTTCCTTGTTATTCTTGTCCTCCTTTGCAGTGACCTCGCTTGATTTTCGTTTGCGAGTCTCCGACTTCGCTCTGGACGTTGTTCCGCCGCCGTCTTCCTTGCCTCTGAGAGTAGACTGTTGCTGTTGGGTCTGCTTGACGGATTGACTGGACTTTTTGGTAGACTTGGCCCCAGATACACCTCGTAACCCATCATTATTTCGAGCCCCACTGAGCATACTTTGGTCAGCTGGTTGTTGTGATTGCAAGGTTGCCGACCTTTTGACTGAGTCTCTTTGGTCGGCTTTCTTACCGGACTGCTGTTGCTGCTGCGGCTGTTGTTGAGCCTGCTGCTGCTCTTTGGGTACTGCGGTTCTACTTGATTCTTCTCTCTCAGTAAGCGGCGGCTGAAACTCTGGTCCATGCCGCCCGTCGGAAGTTTTAAGCTTCTTATCGGGCAGCTTCTTGAGTTTCCGCCCCGCGACAGTCTTCTTCTCAGATTCGATTGCTTCATCCGCGACTTTATTCACTGAATGTCGCTTATTCACAGTCTTGTTCTTCATCTGATTACCGTTCTCGCTTTCGGAGGATGTAGTATTGGTAGTTGAAGAAGAAGCTGGTTCCTTAGCGATACTCGACATCTTTTGCATCGGACTTTTCGCTACGTCGGAATCACTGCTGCTTTCTGAGGAGCTGCTGCCACTACTACTATCACTGCTGCTACTCTCGCTATTGCTACTCTCAGGCACCTGTTTCTTTCCCCGTCTTTCCTTCGATTCCTCCTTTTTTGTCGGTACCTCCTCCTTCTTGGGCGATTCCTCCTTTTTGATCTCTCTCTTCTTACCACCGTCCGGCAATTCTTTCTTTGATTTTCCATCGGCGGTTTCAAGTTCCGATTGAGCAGTTTTCGTACCCATGCCACTTTTGATGTGTTCTGCAGCTTTCTTTGCAGCCTGTCGTTGTGGCACGTAAGCGAGAATCTCCGTGCCATCGCCAAATTCCTTATCAAAATCGTAAACATCGTTATTTTTAGCATCCTTTGGCGTCTTGTTGTCGCGCTGTTTCTTGCCGGATGGTCTCTCCTTGGTTGGTTTCAGAGGTTCCCCAGGCGATTTCACAAACTCCACGGGTTCGCTCGCAGCGTTTTCCTTTTTACCTTGTGTTCGCTGCATGATCTCCGATGCCTTTTTCGCTGCTTGCCGCTGCGGAACTATTAGAGCAGATGGTATGTATTCTTTCTTCTTAGGATTTTTCACATTTTCCTTATTTTTCGTGGATTCGTCCTGATAATCCGGCCGCAAAGCATCTTTACACGTAAAGTTCTTTTGTGTATTCTTTGATATATCTGCTGCTGAGAATTCCTTGACCGCAGCTTTCGTGATAAGTACAGCCGAATGGGAATGATGTTCCTGTGAATCTGAATCAGTGTCAGAGTATATGGCAGAAGCTACGGATGGACCGAGGCGAGAGCCAGCATTAGTACTCAATGGTAACAATTCGTCGCTCTCGCTACCCGAGCTACCAAGCTCCATATGCTGCAAACCTCGTGATCTATTCACCACATCTAACTTATCGCTCTCGCTGCTGTCGCGCAGTTTGGTTCGCGGCCTATCCGGCGCGTTCTTCTTTGTTTTTCGTCTGGCGGGAGTTTTGTTTTTCGATATTGCGTTCGCTTCATCTTCTGTGGTCGACTCGCTGTCTACCTTTATATGTTTAGTAGACTTTATACATTTATTCGCCGCTTTTCTTTCCGATTTGACCGCGTCCGTCTCACTGCTACTCATAGACGATAAATCACTTCCGTACAGACTCTTCCGTCTAACTGAACCATTGAAGTAGAGCTTCTTATTAGATGCACCATTAAAATCTGGTTGTACCTTCTTTTCATCACTAGACGCTGGCGTAGGCGATTCAATACCCGCAATTCGGGCAAGTATTGTGTCAAAATCATGCGTGTGATCCTCGGCATCAGGATGGGAATAAAGGCGATCGTATATCGAAGGTCCATGATTGGCCTCAGCAATAGCAGCGGCCGCCGCTGGAGATAATGGTGGTCCGGCCATCAACATTGCCTGCTTGTGAAAGGTTTGTTCGCGCAGTCTCAAGAAAGTGCGACAGAGTTTCTCGCGACGACCGACCATATAACACAAATTTCGTACGCGTTCTAAATCTTGACGCAGTTGGACGAACGTACGCATTTTTTCTACATCGGCCGCCTGACCCTGAGCACGTGCTCCGGCGCTCGACAATTCACCACAACGAGGAGCTAATAGCGGTTTATTATGACCAGCCTGGAAAGTAACACGAATGTCAATAATATCCAATGTGATATTTTTGCATTCGTAATTTTATATTGATGACTTACTCGTCTTTTCAACTTCCAATAATTATATATGTACATGATACTATCGGGATCTATGTCCAATTGCTGGGAAGTAATATCTTTTATACTAACATGCTTATCAAATTCCGCTTCAATTTCTTGCAACCTGATATGGAAATAATACATATATTATAATTTTTATAATGATTTAAAGAGATTAATTTTTAATACAATAAAATATAATATAACATTTCATTAGTAAAAAAAATAGACATGTTTATTAGAAATATTTTCTTCCTATAATTTATATGTAGAATTTGTCTTATTAATTCTGAATGTGTTTATAAATTTTCAAATATTTAATCAAATATAGTTATATTTTTAATAATAAATTCTATATAAGTCCCTATGCCACATACTTAGCTGCACGCGCTTGATTTTTTTCTTCAGAAGTCATATCTTTTCGTTTACGTCGTCTGGATTCACCGTCTTCGGAATCTGACCCACCCTTTCCGCCACTTCCCACGCTACCGCCAACACCGACTTTGTCTTTTGTATTTGTTCTACTGTGCTTTTGACAATATGACTAGAAACATGAATTAGATCAGATTGATTCGCAGTTGTAATCGCAAAGTGATAATTTAATGAATTTTGAATCGCGCTTAATAGCTTACCCTTAATTTCACGCCATCGTCTGCCATTTCATCCTCGATAATCGCTTTCATTTCCAACCCGTACTTAAAAGCACATGTAACATGATACGCTGTCTTACATGTTTTTATACTGCATTGAATGCAAGCACCCACTCTTTCGCGACATAAAACGCAAATTAAGGCCCATCGACTTTGCTGCAATTCATTATTACATTCAATCAATTTGTATCCAGTATAGAAATCTTAAGTCAATTTAAAATCAATAGAATATATGATTAATAAGTGTTTTAACAGTAAGACGTTGATCAGGATAAATAATGATAAAAATAATATAAACAGTAAACTATAATATTTATAAGACTATTATTTACCGGAATACTGGATATTTTTGTAATTGGTTCCATTCTTTCTACACAACCAATGCTAACTTCGGGAATCCAGAGTGCACACGAGACATGAGCCCATTTTTGCCCGCTTCGTGTGCACTTCATTGCACCTCCCTTATTAGGACATAATACACAATCGGGTCTTTGACTTAACGAACAAGTTCTACACAACCAAGAGCCATCGGGTATCGAAGTAATGCCGTAACAAGCTTGATGTACACATATGTTGCAACAATCACAAAATACCATCTCATTACCCTCCTCGGAGTCCGGCTATCGTAAAAATTTTTCACACGTTATGTAAATCCAATACAAATTAAAATTATATAGTATATCATACATATTTGACATAATAGATTACTTATACACATACCAAGTTCCGATTATATGAGAAATAAATAAGTCACTTACCGATCTGCAAACATCACAAATGACATTTTCGTCATATTCAATCCCAAGTCCCTCTTCATTCTTCACAATTGTTTGAATCCTTTCCCAACATCGTACTTCCAACTCTTCTATGACTCGTTCCAATTGTGATTCCGTAACCGGTGGTTGTCCAGCCTGAATAATTTTAATATAAAATAATATTAATTCATGAATATATAAAAGTAACAAGAATCATCACTTAAAAGTTATTAATGCAAAATATTAATGTTTCTATTTGTCACTAACTGATTCAATATGTATGTATTACTAGAAATAACAATTAACAATTACAGAAATAACAATTGTAAAGTTTATTGCCAGGCTTATTTCCAAAGTTTCGAATCCTTTGTGATAGATACTAGTGATGTCTCATATACATTTAAGAAAAATTTAGATTAATCTAAAATTTCAATTTTATAAAATATATTTTTCTGAATAAACATTTTTACTTTGTGTTATTTTTTTATAATATTGACGATTTTTGAGAAATTATATATATTTTTTTAGATGTATCTTCTTTGAGAGATGCCTTACACAGAATTAAATATACAAAAATCCATAAAACTAAAATATTAATTAAAAAAAGAATATCATTTAATTTATAATAATTATAAATAATTTGTTTTACCTGTGCTCGTTCACCATTAAATACTTCTAACCAAGCAATGTCGGTATCATCAAGATCATAAGCACAGGCTTTCTCCGCTCTTGCCGGAGTGGTACTTAAATGATGATCCTCCGAGTTAAAATAATCATCGCGAGATATTCTTATTAATTTTTTAGGCCTGAAAAACACAGGATAATTTCGTTATAAGACATTGCAGAGTGCATTAATAATACAATAATCAAAATATCTCGAATATAAAACAATATTGTGACAATATCATACACTCACAATTTGAATTCAGATTGTAACTTTAAAGGAGATGTCTGAGTAACAGTAACCATCGGTTCAGGAAGAGAATCTGGATTAACAGGTACTTGGACACCTCTTTCCCATTCCTGTTTCCACTGATCAGTTATAACCCAATACTCATGTGGACTCAGTGGTTCACTGTCTGGCAATTTCATAGCACTGATCAGGTCTTTACGAAATAACTCCGCTGGTGCTTCCGCGGATGATCGATTGTATATGCTGGGAATCTTGATATCACTGACAGATCGGGCGGTCCAGGATGCTCCCCCTTGGCTGGATGACGCCATCGTTTCCTCTTCTTCTGAGGGCCCCATGGTCGCTGCCAGTGCCGATGAACCAGTGGCAGCTGGACCCAATCTACATTTGCGCCTTTTAATAGCGCCCGGACAAGACGCCAGATCATTGTCGTTTCTATGCCTCTTGCCTCGTTGTGCCATTCTACTATGCCAAATAAGCTAGTGGTACGTGGCACATGCAGGTGAACTGTGTGCACCCTGAAATAACAATTGTGTACTTTTTGAGTATTTATTTTCTCTCCACAAGTATATATTAAAGAATATTACATAAAAATATAAACTTACTACATAGTTATCCATATATTTATTATCTGGAAAACAGATTATCTTCAGAACTGAAACATAAAAAATGTATCATTTCAAGACATTTTATAAATTAGAGAACTATAAAATTAGAGAACTGTTTACATTACACATAATAATGTAAACAGATAATTTGGTTGACAGTTATACGCAAGATGATTAGATCAAAATCCAACATATTTCATTTAATCTAAAACTTGATATATCAAATCTTGATTTTATCTTACTTTACTTATAGCTATTAGCTCTGTTCAGAGTTGAATTGTTATATTTTCATTTAGAATCTTGATTGACAATCTTGATTGACAATCTTGTTTAAGTTTTTATTTTTGTAGAATATCCTATATGACATGCAAAATAATATCACATTATATATTTTAAA